AAGATCCTCTCCTACACTTTCTCCTAGAAGCTTCATAACTTGGGCTTTCAAATTTAAATTTATGATCCATCTCAAATTAATTTTTTCGTGTGGTGTAAGGTAGGGGTCAACGGTTTTTTATTTTCATGTGGCTATCCAGTTATTTTGGTACCATTTATTGAAAACATTTTACTTTATCCATTGAATTGTGTTGGTGACTTTTACAATTATTTCATACTCACACATCTACATACACATACAAATATCTACATACACATACATTTACATACACATGTACATTTCATATACATTTATCTACACACACATATATACGCACTTATATACACATTTCTGGAGTCACTTGTTTGTTTTGTGGATCTATTTGTCTATTCTTTTGCCAATACCTCACTATCTTAATTACTGTAACTTGTCAGTACATCTTGAAATAAGGCAGAATAAACCCTCCAACTTTATTCTCTTTTTAAGAATATATTGGCTATTTATTCCTGGTCTCTTAAAATTTACATATAAAATTTAGAACCACCTTGCCAGTTTCTACCAAAACACCTGCTGAGATTTTGATTGGAATAGCATTAGATCCATAGATAAATTTGGGGAGAATTGACTGCTTAGAAATATGAATTCTTCCCAACCACGATCTCTATTTATTTAGACCTTCTGTAATCTCTCTCAGCAATGTTTGGTAGTTGTAAATATACAAATACCACACATCTTTTGTTAAGCTTAATGCTCTTATTGTAAAGGATATTTTAATTTCATTTTCCAGTCATTTGTTGTAAGTTCATAGATGTGTCATTTACTTTGTATTGAGGTGCTCCTATGTTGGGTGCATAAGTATTTACAATTGTTATATCTTCTTCTTGGATCGATCCCTTAATCATTATGTAGTGTCCTTCTTTGTCTCTTCTGATAGTCCTTATTTTAAAGTCTATTTTGTCTGATATGAGAATTGCTACTCCAGCTTTCTTTTGGTTTCCATTTGCATGGAATATCTTTTTCCATCCCCTTACTTTCAGTCTGTA